GGCGAAGGGGAGAGCTCCAGCGAGCAAATGAGTGCAGGGCCCAGGCGCTGAGCCCAGCGGAAAGCAGCTCGGCTCCGCGCCACGGTTCGTGCTGCACGCCAGCCGATCTTCATTTGCGGGTATCCTCGGGATTCTTCTCCAGCCGCTCCACAGTGAGGGTGTCCTCGCTGCTTGCCTGCCGAAGTGCGCTCGGGTCCACTAGGGGCCGCGCTCGCCGCTCGAGACCCATCTGGACAGCAGGGCACGCAGGGCGCGCACGGAGAGCGCCCTGAGAGGTGAGCAGTGCTTGTGGGCAGCCGGCAGACACTCAACGGGGATCTGCTAAGGCTGGGGGCGCCCGAGTCCGAGGGGACCGCCACGACCCCCTTGGGCACCCATTCCCGGGCAAGCACAGCATGTCCTCCATACCTCTCTTCCGCGGCAGTCCTAGGAATTCCGCTTGCGCAGCGCAGCTTCGGTACCTGACTTGAGAGTGGTTGCGGGATGGGGTGGGCTGCGCAGTTCCTAGGGCCCTCACGGACCTTTCCTGGCCCTGTCCCCCACTCCAGGACTCGACCCCCTCCCTTCTAGTCAGCCTGCTGATGAGGTCATGCCCGAGCCATCCCGGGGGTGGGGGACTTGGATCCCTCGGCAAAGGGAGTGTGTGCGAGGCGGGAGAGGGTAGCAAAAGGCAGAGAAATTCGGCAGCTCCTACCAAATTGGAGGATGGGGGACGGATGCCTTGTTTTGAGAACTTCCAAAGGCAATCAGGGTAAGGCAAAAACCGAGTTTGTTTACAGACCTGAGTTCCAGGATGGGGGTTGGGGGGGAGGAGAGACCTGACCCCTGCCCCGCGGCACATCTGGAGCCACCCTGAACATCTGGCTGAGTTCGCGCAGGAGCCCACACCTCCCGCCACAACCCCCATACCCGGCGCTGCGGTGTCTCCTGTTCCCTCATGGACCTGGGGTACGCAAAGTCGAGCTCCAGAGTAGGAATCCCAAGCTCCCCACCCTCCTCTTCCACTTCCAAAACACCGAATCTCCGCGGTGACGCGGCGCAGCGGCCGCAGCTGAGCAGACATATCCCGAAAGACTCGGGATTGGGGTAAAAGCCCGTTGGCGGTTGCTGCCTTGCTACACTTCTCCAGGTAACCTTGAAGCCGTGATTCACTCGGTCCACTACCCGAGGGCTGCACTACCCGAGGCTAGACCCGCCAGCGCGGACCTTCCGTGCAGCGTGGACACTGCCCCTGGTCGCGGCGCTCGCTCTGGGCCCAGCACCGGCGTGTCGGGGTAAGGGAGGCTATGCAAATCCTCGCCTCCTTAAGCTCAGAGCGTAGGCTGCCCTAGAGGCGAGGTTTCCGGAGACCTCCACGGCACGAGACATGACCACCTGTTGTCGGCACTACGCTCACGGTGTCCAGCGTGTGCACAGCCGTGGCGGTCCCCTTCTCCACCTGCTGCAGGTTGGGTAGCTTGGACCTATTCTCCAGGAGGAGGGAGGAAAGGACCTCTATCTCTGCAGACCCCGCACTTTAACGCGAGCGCACCACTACGCGCCTGGCCCCTAACGAGGCTCCGCGCAGGGCCTGAAACAAGTGATCAGGACTGACCGAGGCACGTAGATGTCTTAAAGAAAGACCGGAACGGAGAGAGGACTCATTCCACACATCATCCCACCCTCAGACGAGGACACCCGGACCCAGGAAGAGGAGGAGAATTGCCCAAAGTCTCACCGCTGGGGAGATCCCACCTTGAACCCCGGCTTAGCGCCCCCTGGCGGGCCGGGGACTCCGAGAGGCGAGTGCGCTCTGACCCGCAGGGCTTAGGTTGAGGGTGACCCAGCGGCCCGTGTGGCTGTCCTGGAGGTTCTTACACGGGACGGGAATATCCGTCAGGACCCAGAGGCCCAGGCCAGAAACTTCCTCCACCAGCGACGAGGTGGAGCGCCGGAGGAAATCTGGAACTGTCGAAGCCACTCGGAAAGAGCAGAGACTTGCTGCAGGCCTAGGTCCCGGTGCACCGTGTGACCTGGGCGGTCTCTCCTCTCCCTAGGAGAGTTGGACTAGACACTGATCCTCCGCTGTAAGTCTGCGCGCCTTCTTCCTTGTGCAGCTCTTGGACCCTCCCCACCCAGTTATGCTGGGCGCCGTGGGGGAGAGCCCACACTTCAGGGGGCGGAGAGGAAAGACGGTGACTGGAATTTTGATCCCCTCCCCCATTCAGCAGATATTTTTCTCGTTCTGAGGAGTGCGGTAAACTTCCAGGACTAGTAAGACAAAGGATTCGGATGTAGACTAGGTGGAAGGAGGGGTTCAGCTACACCCATAACCCTGCTGTCACCGAGCCACTGTGCTGGGCGCTTAGCTGGGGGACTCTGTAGAGGAGGAAAAAAAATAATTTGGAGTTTTCTCCTTGCCTTTCCTCTTGCCTTTCTC